ATATGTATAAAAAAAAAAAAAAAAAAAAAAGATGGATGTAAACCCATTCGAGCGAGTTCGAAAAACCGGTAGCCAAAATTAAAAACGATTATGTTGTTATACTGAAATATTTACATAAACAACAGCTTAAAAAATAAAACTAAAAATAAATACATATAATAATATATTATAATATATGAAACAAAAATAATGTATATTAATACGCGCGTTATTATTGTAATTATAATCGTTTTCGTATTTACGCGCTAAATTTAAACAGAAAAAAAAAAAACGAAAAATTTCCCCCGGACATTATATTACTAAACACGTATATTATGATAATATATTCGCGCGAGTCGTACACGTTATACCTAACCGAGGAGGTTTCGAAAACCTATTATAAATAATAATACATGTGTGCAGCGTAAAACCGGACGCATTACTATTACTATAGAACTACTACGAGTACAACAGTGGTTTTTTTTTTTTTTTTTAGTGTTTCGCACAAATAAATTGTACGTACACAACATTAAGGCGTTATCAACGTGTGTGTAAAGAAAAACGTACGCATATATAGGGTATTGGTTTTAGATTCCGAGCGTATAACGGGTAACGACCGTACACCGACGGTTTTACTGTGTTCTATACAGGGTCCGGCAGAATTCGTGACACGAACCGCATGCGGTCTACAAACACCGTGCTAAAAACACTCGGAAGACCCTATGTTAGGCCGCAATCGTCGAAGAAATCGCAGCAATTCCGCGGGCAACGACGGTGCGAGTCGTGCAAAGCTTTCGGTCGCGCCGGACGTATTGTAGTTTGTCGCACACCGATCGCACAGCCCGTCGAACATGTTAAACGTAAAAAAACGCCGAGTTCGAGTGAGTTTTCGCGTTTTCGTTCTACTTTACTTTCGTGTACCGATTTCTGGCCGGACCCCGTGTTACGACGACGAGTGTTTTTTAGATTCCGTGTCCGCTGCGGTTAGCGACGTTTCTACCGGAAATCTCGTACCGATCGGAAAACGACGCGACGCGTGTATTTTCTCGTCGAATCTCGGTGCGCCGAGGGGGCCGCGGTTTGATTTCTCGTGTGCTGTGTTTGAGTAGCGTCCGCCACGAATGATAAATGGAATCGCCTTGTACGCGTACGTACATAGATTCGGACAGTAGCGCCCAAGCGCACATTTTTACGGTGTAGCGGAATTCGAAATTCAAAACTGCCGTCGGCCACCTAAAAAACTTTTACCCGCATAAATACGCGTGTATACACTTTCCAGCCCCCGTGTATGCGGCCTGCCACGTCCAATGTTTTTACCCGTTCTGCCGGAATAATCGCGCCAGCCCGCCCGAAACGCGGCGTGTGGCCGACCGCTACTGCGCTCGAAGTACAGTTTGGGGGCCCACTGGATATCGCGCGATAAACGATGACAATATTAAATAAACTGTCGGCCGCGCGCACTGTTTATTCGACAGTGCTACAGCACGACCGGCAATTATTTTATGGCGATAAATTCAAAAAAAAATAGAAAATAAAAACGACGTCTCCGTTATGATATTTCCACCTTCCCGGAAAAAAAAGAACACGTATACAGGCGAGAAAGGCAAATGCGCGGCTCCGAAGTCCGCGTTTCTATCGCCGCATACGACGACGTTATCGTATTGCTGTTATTATATTACGCGCATCGATCGTCGGACGAAACGCGCAAACACACAGGCGCGTAATTTATTTATTTTAATTTTAATTTTTTTTTTTTTTTCACTACGCAAAGTGAATACTATTTTTTTTTTTTGTTTTAATTTCTTAAAATACAGTTTTTTATTAATAATTTTATCGGATGACAAGGAAAAAAAAAATGCGATTTCATTAAAATAATATTGCGACGCGCGCGCGGCCGCCCGTACCTTTGCGGTGCGTATCGTATAAATTATTCGGCGCGATTAATTAAACGGGAACGCGTTAATTAAGAACGCCGCCCGAGCGCGTAGCTCATCCGGACGGCCGCGTGTTTGTTATTATACTCGCTTGGACTACTTACTTACTCGACTTGCTCACTTACTCGCTCGCGGTATTGTAACCCGAAAACTCGAAGCGCCGCGTTTTAATCCCATCGCACCTTTGCGGCGAATAAAACCCGCGGGCCGCACGCCCGGAACGAACGGTTATTACCACGCCGCGATTCTCGGAGTTCGCGTTTTAGATTCCGAGGATGGCGAAGGAGGATGTGTTGGGTTTCAACAGATACGTTTTTTTTTTTTTTTTTAACGAACGTGAACGCTTTTCCTTTATCGGGAAGCTCACTCCGACGTACACCGCGTAAAGACGTATTTATTCCGAACGGAAAATTTCTCGGAAAGGTACTTGCCGACAGGTCGTTTTTCGATTTTCCCGGAAAACGTGAAAGACAAAAACAAAAAAAAAAACAAACCGTAAAATGCACGAGACGTAGGTATTATGGTCGGAAAATATTTCGGCCTCCGGGGCGGCACTTTGGGGAAGTGATATTTTCGGTTTTCCCGGGGTTTTACCCGATAAACGGGATAAAAAACTGAAAGACGGGCGCGATATTCATACGAATGTCCTTAAAGAGAATACACGATGCGTTTGCAATTGTTTTACCGTTGTGCGACGCGCGCTATACCGTTGACGAATCAACGGTGCGACACCGTCAACCGAACAACCGAACGTTCAGCGATCGTTTTTCCGTTAGAGCAAAAGTTGCTTACAGACGCACATTCGGACCCGTAACACGCGGCTGCACTCGTCTCTATCATCCTGGGACAGCCTTTGTCACGTCACCGCGTATTTCTCGTCGTGGTGTTCCGATCCGGGCGTTTTACAACGTCGTTACGTTACGCGTTTCGAGCGTGACGTTTTTCGTTCGGTCGCTGCCAAATGATTCGCGGTTGAGAATTCGTCGATTTTTTTTTTTTTTTTCTGTGTCAATACTGTCGATAACAATTGCCGGGCCTTGGCCAAAATAATATAGCGAAACAAATAACCGCGAATGCACAACGAATCGCGAACATAAAAAGACGCGGACACACTTCGTACGACGGGCGGTCCACTATTGTAGACGAAAAGTCGGGTAGATAAAATACAGAAGGGAATTTAATGTATATCTGTACGCAATGATTAATCGTTAATCTGTACCGCCTCGGTCAGATTTCCTTTCAAAAGACAAAAAAGTCGTGCTTATACTTGAGAATCGGGGAAAAATTACCGGTAGAAAAATTGTTCACGGATAAAAACAAAAAATAATATAAATAAATATCATTGTAAAACCAATACATTCCCAGCTCCACTCGGAATCTAAAATGGCGAATTTTAAAATAATCGATCGCGCATAATGGCGAAACTTTTACAAATTACAAATTATAATATTAACGATGATAAAAACTTTGTAAAAGATGCGGCTGGTGCGATTCGCCATTAATTACTCAATTGTTCTTTTCGTTTAATTAATATTTTTCTTAAATACCCAAATGACTAATATCTAAATACCGTACGAACTTAACGACATTAACGATTGTGTTGACCGTGTTCAAAAAATTCTGTATTTCCGCTCTTTTTTTTTTTTAAAAAAAAAAATTCGCTATTTTGATGTTTGTTATTATTTATTAATTCACGGTTTTTACATTCGTGGTTATCTTTTCGTTATTTTGATCCGATGCCATAATTGTCTCTATCAATGGTGCAGTATATCTGATACTAACGTTTTTAATATTATTACCAAACCGTATAACCACCGTAGCACCGTCATGATACCAAACTCGGTTATTTAAATTTGTTTAGATTATAAACGGAGCGAGCAATTTATTGGTTTTACGACGGTGTTTTTTATTATTATTATTATTTTATGAGAGGTCTGGAAACACTTTTTCTAGCGAAATTCTCGTCTCAACCGAAAACTGTATAGGGAACTTTATTGGTACCGTGTTTGGTGCAATGTTAACCGCATCATGCGCGGCGGCGCCATACTCTGAATCAACCGAATTGTATTAATCGTATTTTTTTTATTTTTTTTTTTTTCAAATATCGCACTGCGTACTAATATCTTATTTTAAGTAAATCAAAAAAAAAAAAAACATTTTTTTTTTTTTTCCCCAATAAGTATATTGAGCAATAATATTTGATTCTCATATTTAAATATTTTGTTTTTAAGAAAAAATCGTGTACACGGAAAGGTTAGTACAAGGTTTACTGGGTACACGGACTCGCACGTGGATAATTATACGACTCGGTGTCGGGGAAATTCTTTTTTTTTCTTTGGTATTTGAAATTACGTTAGTTTAAATTACCTTTCAGAATTGTAACTAAAATCGTTTTTAAGTTTTTAAGTTTTTTTTTTTTTTGTTTTTATTCGGTCAAATCGCGTTACTTTCGAGTTCGAAAAGTAATTATATAACAATAAAAGTTCCGTTTTTTTCCCCTCAAAAATATTACCGGAGCTCAACAGTTACGTTGTCGACATGACGTTCGTGAATTTGGCCCCACCATGTTATGATAAATACACCAAAATTTTGCAAAATTTCGCAACTAATTTGCAACTTTAGGCAACCGGTAAAAAAAAATTTGCAACCTTATATTTTTGTCCTGATCGCTAAACTAAAATTGGTTGGGCCAAATTCACGTGGCCCCACCACATCGTCGTATCGACCTCGAACCTTTTTCATAATTTAGCAACTAATTTGCAACTTTAGGCAACCTTCGTGAAAAAAATTGCAACCTCGTGGTTACGCCGGAAGCGAATTCCTAAGTTGGTGGGACCAAATTCACGTGACCCCACCACATCGTCGTATCGATTTTGAATTTTTAGGGCCAATATTTTAATTTTTTCGGAATTGATTTTATTTCATACTAATATATTATTTTAAATTATAATTATAGTTCTGTAGTTTCACTTTTATATATAAAGATTACCTGGTGATATAAAAAAAGGTACCATAGGTACTACCATGTGCATATTATAATATTTAGTAGGTACATTTTTGTATCTGATACGCAAATCATAATTAAACAAAACAAAATAAAATACCTTTTTTTTATATCACCAGGTAATCTTTATATATAAAAGTGAAACGACAGAACTATAATTATAATTTAAAATAATATATCAGTGTGAAATAAAATCAATTCCGAAAAAATTAAAATATTGGCCCTAAAAATTCAAAATCGATACGACGATGTGGTGGGGCTATGTGAATTTGGCCCCACCAACTTAGGAATTCGCTTCCGGCGTAACCACGAGGTTGCAATTTTTTTCACGAAGGTTGCCTAAAGTTGCAAATTAGTTGCTAAATTATGAAAAAGGTTCGAGGTCGATACGACGATGTGGTGGGGCCACGTGAATTTGGCCCCACCAATTTTAATTTAGCGATCAGGACAAAAATATAAGGTTGCAAATTTTTTTTTTACCGGTTGCCTAAAGTTGCAAATTAGTTGCAAAATGTTGCGAAATTTTGGTGTATTTATCATAACATGGTGGGGCCAAATTCACGAACGTGTCGGCATGACGTGAATATACGACCACTGTACAATATACGTTAAAACTGATATCAACAACCGACGGCCATCAACCGATCAACACAATATTTCGTAATAATAAAATCAATTATACGAGTAATATCGAATATACATTAAATAACTGTATACATCGTATGCATAAAAACAGCGATAAGAGTAATTTTGAAACTTCACTACAAAAAAAATAGGCAACTTAAATTACGTAGATAAATTATTCACAATAAAATATAATTGAATTACCATCAAATTACTTAGAAATTAATTTCATTTGAGTGAGTTGTAACTTAATTCAAGTTACTGTTCAACATTTTATGTGGGTAGAATTTTTGTCAAACCCGGCAGACACCCAATAAAACCGACCGGCATAATAAATTAAATTATAATACCAAAAAAAAACGGACATACTTTGCACAATAGACGAGCCACTGTTGTAGATAATAAATTGGGAAGGTGGAGGGGAAATTGAATGTATATCTGTACGCAAAGGTTAATCATTGCTAACGAAAAAAAGGTTCTGAGCGGAGTTCGGTTACATACATTTTGAAAGGCCGTAATATATTTACGGTTTGAAAATAATACATTTCGTAAATGTGTCCGTTTTTTCTACTTTTTTTCTCGGTTATTGCCGTTTATTATGAAAACCCCCGGGAAAATCAAATAATGGCCTCTTTAAAGTACCATTTTAGTCAAATTTCCTTCTATAAAAGGCATTACACTTAAAAATCGGAGTTGAATTTCTGAATTGAGAAAAGTTGTTCACAAAAAAATAAAAAAATAAAAATAAACATCTTTGTAAAACTAATACGTTCAATAGTTATATCCCATAGGTTAGGTATTCGATTTTGTATTTTACGACAGTATATTTTCGACATTCCAATACGTCCGCACTGTGGTGACGAATAAGGTATACATAATACGTCTTACCAACGAATTTATAATGAAAAATAAACCGAAATTACCATACTTTTCCGGTTTACGAAACAAACGCAAATATATTATAATTATTTCGGCAGATAATTAACGTTTGAAGCGTTTTGCGAGCATTGCTTAAGACCTACGCGCGAGACGGCCAAAGGAAAAGTCGAGAACACTGCAGCAGCGTAAGTATCGGCGACATTTTGGGTATTCCGCACGAGTACACTCGGCGGACGAAGTATTACAAAAAAGTATTTCATTCATTATGTTAATCCGATTCAACCGTCGTCGAATAAAATTTAAGAAAAGAAAAATTAAAAGAGGGTTAATTTCAAAGCCGTTCATTGATCGAGTCGAGTGCGCGTACCGCTGCCGCTATCGACTTAACAAACCTAATGAGAAAAAAAAAAAAAGAAAAAAACAACTAAATCGTCTCGAGAGCACCACCGCGCGGACGTTATTACTCTTATTTTCGTCAATGCAACAATTATTGTTTAATTGTTATACATTTTTGTTTACCGTCTGCCACACGACTACGCATCGGAAAGTTCGGCGCGAAAATTATTTTTACTATAATTATTATTCTTTTAATTGAAATTATCGTTCGTAAAAATGTATAATATTCTGCAGTTTATTAACTCTCTGTCTTGTTTGATGTTATTAATCCAACAGTTTTTTTTTTTTCCCCGAGCTACATTATTATATTATTTAAGTTCGGTTAAATAAATGTGTTTGTTTTTAATCCAATTAACCGTTTTTTTTTTTTTTTTTTTAATTCCAATTTTCCTAAATTAAACGTCGCTATAGTATAATATAATAGGTTACCACAACAGAATATTATTTTAAATTACTTTCGTTCGTGTGTATAAAAAAATTGGCGCAGAATTTAGTGTACACATAAAAAAAAAAAAAAAAAAAACGATTTTACACGTGAACAAACCCCTCCGCGCTATATATATATATATATATATATATTGTATACGTTAACAGTAGCGGATGACGTAATGCAGTATATTTTAAACTTGGTAAAAAAATAAAAAAAAAAAAAATGTTCGGAATGCCCCGGTGTCGAACGATCGCAAAACTGTTATAAATTCAACGTGGTGGGGAGAAGGGAGAGTTACGTTACTTTACCATATGTCAAATCCCCGCGATCTACCGACAGCGATTTACCGAGTAAGAAAGACATCTAAAATAGATGTTCGAAAATTGTGTAGTAGTTCCTACTTTTGTCTATAACGAGCAAACTTATTCTCGAATCGTACGTTTCGTGCATCGACTCTTTCGTATACCGTCTATATTAGCGGTTCTCAACCTTTTGTGCGTTGGCGACCCAAGATATTTTCCGATTTCTTTCGTTCGAAATTCTTAAAATTAATTTTCAATAATGGGCAGCTCACTCAAATGTTCACTCATCACAACTAAATGATTGTGTGACCTTTCAATTAAAGTCATATGGGTTAGTTTAGGTACACGATTACATCACGGCTGAACTCTTCGTACCTAGCCCCTGTAAATACTTTAATATCTATTGCAAATTCAGTAAAATTAGATCTGTTCGCTTGTAACATAGTGGATATCAGAACAGCATTTAGAGTGCAGTAATATAATGTTGTTAATACTTTGCAATTTCGTCTTAAACTTTTACCAATAATTGTATTATTCAGTAGATTAGATTAAGTTTTCTGTTTATTTATTATTTTGTTTTTATCAGTTTTCTGTTTTAACGATGAGTGAATTTAATTATCCACTTAGTGTGAAGTTTAAAAATCATCTTTGTTATTTTTTTAAATTGTGTTATATACATTTATATATATATAAAATATAATATAAGTTTTCGACCTATTCACACCTACGTGCGATAATGTAAAAAAAAAAAAACACAAACAAAAATACCACGGTCGTTTTCAATAGGTTGATTTCAATAATTAAGTGCTCGAATACAAACCATTTAAATAAATGTACAACATAGATATAGCGTTTTGGAATAGTGACGGAGGAAGAAAACATAATTTTAACAGTTTTTACTTTTATGATAGTGGCAAAAAAACGTCTCTAGAAATGCTAGATACTTATAAACTACCTACATTAGATTAAAATCCCGGGCGTCATTTGACGTTAGGGTTAAATGTTCAATAATTATTATTGGCGTCTAACAAGTATTGAAAATATTAAAACAAACAAACAAACAAATTAATAAAAATACCGCTTAGGAGAAAAATACTGTCAAAAGGTCACGGTGACGAAAAAATTAGTCGAACCCGAAGGTCCCGAAGGCGAAATGCCATTAGGCCGTTCAAATGCGAGCTACGAGGACCGGATAAGAAATGACATAAAACCAAACGAACCCGGGATAGAGTACGGCGGTGTGAAATCTGGTTTTTTAAGCATCGTGATATTACGATTGCCCACGCGACGATACCCTATGGTACGGCCATCGTAAAACGGCAGCCTAATTGAATTCCCGTAATCGGCTGATGTATAGGCCGTTTGCAGCGCTCGTGCGACGGTGTGGGATCGCGCCGGGTCAACTAATCCCGCACACGTTGATCGGGCACTAGTTAAAATATAAACGGAGCGCGGCCTATCGAATTTCCCGGTGGGTTCGCAACCGCGGAAGCGAATGGTTTCCGCGATCGCGATTAGCGCCCTGAGGCCATAGGACAAGAAGAAGAAGAAGGAGGAGGAGGAGAAGAGTCCGCGAAATATTTATTCGACCACGATGCCGTCATTATCGACCTGCGTCGCGCTTAAAATTCGCTCCGTAATATCGCGGCGCCGCGCATTAATTAAACAACATCCCCTACCGCCTCCGCGTAGCAAAGTTTCGCAACGCGCTACGGGTCCGGCGGCAAAATAACATTATCATCGCCGCGGCGTTCCCGAAAAAATGTCGGGAAACGGCAACATCCCGTACGTTTTTGTTCGAATTTCGCGAAGGACCGGACCGCACGTCTGCGCCCTGCTTCCGACCGATATTACCGTAGGCGGGCAGGTAGGTACGGTAACGGTACACGGTAACGGTTATTAAAACTCGCGATACCGACTCGCGGCCGAAACCCGCGTTTTCCGAAATCGTTAACACGCCCGAGACCGAAACGACGTGTACTGTCATTAACGACTCGGCGTTATTATTATTATTTTTCTCGCGCGCGAGTTTGACCGTAGGATAAATTGCACGTGCTTCTTTTAAAGTTACGACGACGAGTCTGCGTACGTATACTGCAGGTATACGCATATATATAGGTATATAAACTTGATAATTTCCGGTCCGCTATGAGCCGACACGTTTTCCTCGCGGCCCCGACGGCAGATACGTGCAGGTGTGTGAAAAAGCGTTATTATATAATATTTTATTTTTATCATTATCGTCGAAACGCTCGGAAAATTAAAAGCCCGCGGTCTGTTCGGCCGGGAGCAAGAGGGCGGTGCGCGTGAGTATTGAACGCGAGACGACGACGGCGATGACGATAAAACCGAACGTAAACGGTGTACGGTTATCGCGGAATTTCGGCACTCGTAAAAATTGCGGTGTGACATTATGGACATGCCCGGATTAAGATGATTTTGAGCCCGGAGCCAAACAATCGTAGGAGCCCGTAAACATATCCAAAATACTGGTGGTTGTACAGTACTATCAGCCAGGGTCGGGGGCTCGAAAAATCACGATATCCAGGAGCTTGAAGCTATGACCCCATCTGCCCCCCCTCCCATTAATTTGAGCCCGGTTATAGAGGAACGGTGCAGTGGTTTTAATGCAGTCGTCTACACGCGCGGTACGAATCGCGATGCAGCATTATTTAATCGGGTTTTCGTTGACTGTAAAAACCGTTAACATCTCTGTTCCGACGACGTTCGAATGTATTCTAGTAGTTATCAAAACAAAAAACTCGCAAGAGCATTAATAGTCCTAGAAAAAAAAAAAAACACCCCAGTACACTATAGTTGTTTACACAATATAACGTTGACTCGGAAATGCTTCAAGGACGACCGGTGGACATTACACTACGAAAATGTTATAACCAAAATGTCTGCAAAATAAAACGTCAGAAAATGTTGAAAATGGCCAAATAATAATCTGGTGTGTTCCCCGGTGATCCAAACGTGAAACGATAGTTCGACGGCGGGCGTTTGTCACAAATATTAAACGTTTTAGGCCGAGTAAAAATGTAAATAATTTAAGTTATAATAAATTTTTTTTTTTTTTTTTTAAACGTTTGAACCCCGCGAGTTTTCGGTTTCTTAACGACCGATATTTTCGTACATATACGAGACTGCAGACACCGGTTATTGAAAACAAATAATATCGCTTCATTTTTCGAAATTCGGAATATTCATTCAAATTTAATAACCGGTTGAAACAACGGAAATAATTCCGACTGCTGAGTGTTGAGCAGTTTTTTTCGCACGCCTTTCCACTTGAGCATGCTTGACGGCTTACGTTATTTATTAATTAATTAATTAATTTTTTGTTTAACTTCGAACCGTCGGCCTATTCGTTCGTCTGACTTTACTCGATCGTGTCGATTGCATTTTCGTCGGCTCCATCCCTCTGCCGAACTCCAAGCAAACACATAGCTAACGCCGCGTAATACTTCACGTTGGACCTACATAGAGAAAAAGTAAAACAAAGAAAACGCCTACAACATCCGAACTATATCTGCCCGGGAGTAGCAGGAAATTTTGCAGTTGTTCCAAAAAAAAAATAAAAAAATAATATATATACATAATGTATGTATCCGTAAACGTTCCGGTGAAAGTTTCCGCGTTGTTTTCGAGTCGTCAATATAATAATATAATAATAGCGTTATCACGCCAACAGCACACATATCGTGTATTGTAATGTGTTTGAGTTTCGCGTAAGCAAATCGATCCTCGACTCTTGCACAATATACGTATATGCTATATAATGTAAGTATACAAGTTTAATGTTTCCGGTGACGTATTTACGGGGGTGGATCGTCAGGATAGATCCGACCCCGTGAATTTTTAACACACGTGTGTTATTGAGTTGTATTAATTATAATCAAATATGCGCATGTTGTTTGATAATTTTCAATTATCGAAAAAAAAAAGAATCCGTGGTTTTATAATTTATGATAACGGTGTAAAATGCGCGGCCGTGGTGGTAAAACAATTGTGTGTTATCAGTTAAATGTAACATTATCAACCGACAACCGCGGTCCGCGGTGTGGCACGTAGAGCAGTGTCACTTTAAATAAATGTTTGCTGTTTTGATTTTAAATCGATAACTGTGACTGGTAATAGCAAAACTCGACGAGAATTTATAGTGATTGAATTATCGTTTTCAAATTGTTCGTATTTTCTCCGTTGGATATTTTACAGTTTTTAACGAATTCACAACACGAAGCCCGTTAATGTTGTTATAACTTCATTCTTTACGAGTAACCGAAGCGTTAAAAAATCGCGCGAAGACGGATATCCAGTCGATATAATGTCCATTCGATAAATACTCGTAGCCCGTACAGGTATAATGTGTGTAAATTAAAAACGGTAACAGAAATTCCATAGTTCGATATGAATGCGTGTACTAAAGTAATTTTTTTTTTTTTTTTTTTTAATTTGAAGAGAAAAAAAATATATTATTGAAATACGGGGTGTTTATTTGTAAGTCGGATTATCAGGGACGGTCGTGCGGAGCGCAATCCCCCGCGGGTCTGTAAAACTACCGTTTTCGTCGTCCGCTCCCTAGAAAAAAATTCTAAACGAATTTTTTCTCCCCGCACAACCCGCGGTCATGGTATACATCCGTATACAATAATGTTATACAATATTATAACACACAGAGTTATATCTTCCCCCCCTCCCACTACCCCCCCTCGATGAGCGATTGTTATCGAGCACATAATAGTACGAGAAAAACTTAAAAAAAATACAATATGTAATATTTAACATACTTGATACGGGTATTGTATAATATATTATATTATGTATGTATAATACGAACGTAGTTAATTTGAAATTATGTACCCGGACGCCGCCGAGACGGTGCCGTTTTTCCGTATTTTTTGTGGTTATGTTCGCGATAATGAACGCACCTATATTATAATACTTGTATACATAAACTATCTAACCGGCCGCGCATATGTGTCGGCGGAGGGGAAAACGGAGAAGGGGATGGAAGAGAAGGCGGTACACCGTTCGAAATGCCGTTGTAATAATAATAATAATAATAATAATAATAGCAGTAGTAATAATATTATGGAGATGCGACGCTATTATCATAAATTAACTCGACGCGTAGCCCGAAATTTAGACGTAGAATTATTATTATTATTATTATTACGATAATCGTTTATTATTGTGATAATAATACAATATAGGTAACGCAGACAACGTAGGCGCAATAATTAGTCGCAGAGTATATACGTGCCATTAACCAACAAACGCGGATGAAAAATAAACAGAAGAAAAAAAACGAGTGCCGAACGGTGAGCTGTAAAAGAAAGTAGCGGGATAAGGGTCGGCAAATGAAATTGTTTTAAAAACGAGAATCAGAAAAAAAAACCTATTCTCGGTTTTAAACCGAAAATGAATACGAAAAAGACCACGTTACGTTATTTAGTATTATTATTTTCGAAAAAAACAATCATGTAAAAACAATTGAACCGGGGATGTAGAGAGAGTTCACATTGTGCGGAGAAAGACGGAGTGAAATCTGTTTTTTAACATCACGATATTATGGTTGCCCATCTGCCGTCATAAAACGGCAATATCGTCAAATCCCCTGAATCAGCACCGTTTTTTTTTAGAATCCGGCTTTTGAATTATATACCAATTTTCCCACAGTCGACTTGGGTAGAGAAGACGATTTTAAGATTATTCTTCGATGCACCCACTCCCATTGGAAATTTCCGGGCACGCCGCTGGGCGCACTATAATAAAATATGAATCCACGCGGAACACGACGTACCAAATTTCTCGTGGACTGGTGAATTCAATTCGGTACACATTTTATCTTTGGTCTATGGGCAACTATAATATGTGTAATTTATTGTGGTTAGCACGGTCAGAAAAAACGACGCGTACGTTGTAAATTTATGATTTTCTAAAACCCGGACAATTCAATTACGTACATAAAAACACTCTTTTATTTACTTGGATACTTCAGACGCACTACATGGGCACTATACCCAATGCACGTGAAGATAAGCGCTGAAAAAGAAAACTATAATGGTGACCGAAGAGGTGGAGGATGTAAATAACAGATAACCGTAGACCCCATTGATAGAGTCTCGCAAAACTCAAGTGCTCGTGGATAACCCGCGACAACGGCAGATGTTCCGCAAAAATTAGACAATCATTCGGCGAGAAAAAAAAACAGCTGTTCGCAATAATAATACGGACGAGGATAAATTCTGACGAATGTTGAGCGCGAAAAGTGTTCGACCAAAAGGGTTTTTGTCGAGCAGGCGCGTAGCG